GAGCATACTCTGTGTAGCTGCATCAGTTGTCGCTCTTGGACATTAACGTATTAATTATCGTTTCGCTCTTTATATTTTGCCTCTGCGAAGTGTTTGTCTAGAAGCTTCTTAAATTCGGCCACTGAATTGGCCTCTATTACCGGCTGCGGCAGTTTGTTCCAGGAATTCACCACTCTACGTTCGAAACAGAGTTGGTGAGAGACCCGCTTCAACTGCGGTACGATAAGTTTGTACCGGTGTCCTCGCGTGCTGCATGGTGTGCGCAGATGAAGCAGTTGTCTCAACATGGGGTAATCACTCAGATGTAATATCCGGTGCGTCATGATTAGGTCAAACCTCAGCCGACGATATGCTAAGGTGTACAGCCCTAGTTTCTTACATCGGTCTTCATATGGCATACCTCGTAAGTTGGGGATCAGCCTAGTGGCTACATGCTGCACCCGCTCAAGCTTTTCTACTTCGCCTAGCGTGATGGGACAATACGCGGGAGAGCCGTACTCTAGCGCTGGTCGTATTATCGAGACGAAGAGGCGAGTGGCAATCTCTTCGGACCAAGTGCTGAAGCTGCGCCTGAGCGCCCAAAGCATCCAAAAGCTGTTTTGGTACAGCCTATTCGTGTTGTCAATGGACTTTAGGTCGCAGCGTGAGAGCACACCGAGGTCGCGCACGAAAGACGCGGGATGCAGCGGTTGACCAGCCACTGTGTACGTTCGGCTGTGCTCACACTTACCCAACCTCATGAATTGCGACTTAGCAGAGTTGATCGGAAGGTTAACCTCTGCAGACCATGTTGAGAGGCTGTCGAGATCCTGCTGAAGTAAATCACAATCATTGAGTGTGCGGATTACTCTCCACACATTCAAGTCATCTGCGAACAACGTACATGGTGATTGGAGTAGCTGAGGCACATCGTTTACATGGATCAGAAACAATATCGGCCCAAGTACAGTGCCTTGGGGAACGCCGCTGCTCGATGGATACCAGTCCGTTAGATGGTTGTCCACCTGGACTCTCCACTTTCGATCCACAAGGAAATTTTTGATCCATTTGTGTAGCGAACCACCAACACCGCACATCCTCAGGCTGTCAAGGAGCACTGCATGGTTAACCTTGTCAAAAGCCTTACTGAAGTCAATGTAAATGACATCGACCGAATGGCCTTGGTTCATCGCTTGTAACCACTCGTGCCTTGTGAACAGTAGGTTGGTGATGCAGGAGCGACCTTTCATGAAACCATGCTGTGCGGAGGTCAACAGGTTTTTCGACTCGAGAAGCTGCAGAAGGTTCTTCTTCACGATCTTCTCGAGCGTCTTTGCCAAAACAGCAGTCAGGCAGATCGGCCGGTAGTTATCCACTTTACTTGGGTTAACACCTTTCGGTATAAGCTTTACGACTGAGCATTTCCAGTCGTCTGGTAACAGTCCAGTGAGTGGATAGGGATCTGTTAAACAGTTCAGTTACAGAAGGCGCGATGATGGCCGATAGGGACTTGAGGGTCAGTGGGTGTATATCATCCGGTCCAGCAGTTTTTGCCCCGTCAAGATTTGCTAGAAGCTTGCGCACATCCTCAATATTGCAGTCCAGGCTGTTAAGTTCGGTTGGAGCGGTGCTCGTCGAACTCGTTACAGACACCTGGTCACTTGCAAATGCGGAGGCGAAGTGCGCCGCCAATGCGGACGCACGATCTGTACTCGAGGTTAAGGGCTGTCCATCGGAGCCTTCTAACACTGGGACATTGGCTACAGGCCTCAGGCGCCGTTCCACATATGCAAAGATCCTCTTGGGAGCAGTTTTTGCGGCGGCTGCAAGCTCCTCTTCGAAGCTTCTGCGTTTTCTTGTTTTCGCGTCGTTGCAGCGATTTCGCTGTATCTTATACGCATTGTAGTCCTCATCAGAGCCAGATAACACGAACTTGTTCCATAGTCTGCGTCATCTTCGGGCCAGTTTGTTGTATTCTTTGTCGAACCAATGTGGTTTGACTGGCCCAACTTTTCGAAATTTGAGGGGTACAAATCTGGCGCACAACAATTTCACTCCCTCTTAAATGATAGTCCAACAGGTTTCAATAGATGAATCCTGTGGTAAAGACCAGTCCGCCTGGCTCGCTGCTCGAATGAGTCCATTAAAGTCCGCCTTCCAATAGTTGAATGTTGGCTCCAGTGGGGGAGAATACGGCAGTGGTAGTTCCATGTTGCCTATGATCATCGAGTGGTCGCTCGCTCCCAGAGGCTCTAAGACTTGAATGTTATGCACACGCTGCTCACAGCTAGTCAAAAGTAGGTCTAGGCATGATGGAGCCGCGCGCGCAGTAATGCGTGTCGGTTGGTTGATGTGCAGTTTCAAATAGCAAATAATGACTACGCTAACGATACTGCATAGGCTGCTGTGTAGCACTGCACTCTTCGGCATGTGTTTCGTACCCTCAAAGTGCAAAGTACTGTTGCAGGACTGGACCGACAAACACCTCCGGTTCTACCTAGCACCGAACAGCCACTGGAAATTGTGATCGGTTCACTTGTTTTGGTATCTGTATCACCTCAGGTGGTCAGTCACATCTCTGAGAGTGTTACTTCGCGTATCAGCAAAACCCGTGTGGCTTTCCAGGGATATCAACCTGTCAGTGAATGGTAGGATGTATAACACTGCGGAAAGGTCGGTGTTATTGTGTTGATTAGAGACCTGTCCAGTTCACGGCAAAGACATTAAACGTACGGCAGTGCTTGCTGAGTATTGCTCACGTATGGTGGGAACACTGGGTGAGCACTACTAAGGTTTTTGGCAAGAAGCCTTCTGGTGCCTCACTCAACTGTTTACTGAATCGTAATCGCTTACGTTGGCTAGTCCATGTTCTCCGTATGCCCGTTGATCGGCTTCCTCGGCGTGCATTATACGCCGTGACTGTACCATAGTTTAGTGACACCGTGAGGTGGCCAGTCCATGACGTGGCATAAAGACATGAAGAAATCGACTGAGAGACTTTGTCAGACTGGTGCGTACCGTCTTCGTGGATGGGGGCCTCGGGACGGCCCGCATCACTGGTTGGAGACCCTGTCAGATCTGGCGGAGTCAGTGGCGTTCCTGCATTCAGGTTCTTGTATCCAGTCGTTAATTTTCGTTCCATTCTGATTAGTCTAATGCACTTCTTGCATCCATTTTCTTTCCATTCTATTTGCCGTTGTTATTCTGGCGATGTGAGTCGTGGCAACTGGATCCACCACACTTCAGTGCCCGGATCATAGTTGTTCAACTGAGCTGAACTGAACATCTTTGCTTAAGGACCTTACCGGATATCGTTCACTCACAAGTCATTTGGCTTCTCGTATCTAGTTCTGATCCCTTCTACATGCATACTTCAATCCATTTAGCTCCCTTTTGCCTGTTTTTTTTAATTTTCGTTTTGCTCTTCCCAATTTTTTTCTCCTGTTGTAAAGCGGACGCAGACGACTGCGTCCATTGAATGAATTCACTTTCATAATCTTTAGTTAATTAACCTGCATTAGAAGTTTGCGCCTTTCCTTCGTATGCTTTGAAATCATGGCTTATCTACCTAAAGTATGCCGTTGGCTCGCCCTCTACATTCTCCCCACCCTCAAGACATCAGCATTAGACGAAACTCGAGGTTTCTGCGTGGTTTACCACCCGTTTACACCAATTACACATGAATTCCTAAAAGTGCACACACACATGGGATCTGTGACCTTATTCCAAGAAGACGATTTTTTCACCACTAACATTGCTCGTAAAATAGTCTCATTCACTCTTTGCTCTGTTCTATTTATCAACATGGATTGTCACAGTGGCATAAGCAGCTGGCATTGAAAAGCCACGGGTTCGATCCATAGGGAGCCCGGCTCTGTTCACTATTGACGAGTCCCAATAGAACGAAACGGTCCTACAGTGCTTTTCCTACTCTTTACTAGGCTATCTGGGTGGGAGCTAACAGCAGCGGTAAGCAATCGAGAAACGTCATCCCAGTCGTTGTTGTCGTAGGTCGCAGGGTTTCTGCAAACATGCTGCATCCTTCTGATGTGTGTTGACCGATGAACACGCGTAAACAATTTGCCTTATTGTTGCCATCTTTTCTGGGCCAATGCGGATCTCTAGGAAGTGGATCGACGAACTCCTGTTCTTCCGTTACTACTCACTCCTTACACTAGCTGCGGCTGCTAATTGTTCGTGTTTGCAGATGTAGCATAGCCCTCCGAACATGCTAGTAGTCAAGTTGTGCCTCAATCAGAAATCTACTTGGCACAAACGAAAATCTATTAAATGGCACAACAGTACGTCACCAATCTCTTGCGCTCACTTCCACCGACGGACTGGCGATCTCACGGTATTGAACTTATTCACCCTCCGGTGCACGCGGGGAATTACGGTGATATCAGCCATCAACCTGTCAGGAGATGTGCGATGGCCCGCATCGCACAGGTACTGGCAATATCTCGGTTTGAGCTGTTTAACCCCGGTGTGCACATTATTGTTGTGCTAGCAGCAATCCAGACACGTGTCATACGATGGCAATCATCTGCTTTAGTCTAATTTCGCAATGCCCTACTAGTCCAGTTGTCTCCAGCTTACTATTGTGGATATGAAGGCATCTTTAAGCACTTCGCCGGCCCGTAGCCTTAAGGATCGTATGCCTGTCTTGGTGCGGGTTCGAGCCTGCGTAGGGCCCCGGCGACCGGCCCTCTCAGTATCCGTAGCCCACGTGCGACTAGTGATGGTTGCGAGGCAGCGAAACCTCGGTACCACTTATCGGCGTACTGCTGATACCTTTTCTTTTTCCTTTAAGCGCTTCCGATATCCCCGGGCATTGCCTCGAGTTATTTTCACTCTGCCCATGCCGTTCCCCTTTATCTCCCTGACTTCCCCTCGGACTTTTGCGTTGGTTTAGGCGTGAACGGTTTGTGATCATGAGATGCGCCGCGGTGTTCATATTTCCCTAATCCATCTGTTCGTCATTGCTACTATGTTGGATCACTCGTTCTGCTTCTTTCTAGATTGAACTTCCTTTCCGTGAGAAATCCCCCAAGGGCAAATCTGCTTCACCTCGCCCGATCCCTTCGGAGCACTGGTTGTATTCCGGCGAGATGGGACCTGATCATGCCAAAGGTACTTGGTTGATCAGTACTTCTTACTCAACTAATTACCACTCGCCATTTTATTGTTTCCCCACTCATTCTTCAAATGGTTGTAGGCGACACTCGCAGTCGGTCGGACACCGTCTCAACCAGTATACCCAGGGTATACGAGGAAAATGCGACTGCCACGTCTGACACTTCAAGAGCCCCCGTCCCCGATCGAAGATACTCTGGTTCGGATGCCGAGTTTGTCTCGGACGAGCATGAGCACACTGTTACTAGGAGCTTACTCACGAACAGATCGAGATCCGGCCGAAATTTTCAGGTGAGCCTTTGTTTAGCTCTCCGCCTTGCTGTTTGCTCAATCTCCATATGAGCCGTTCATTGCCGAAACATCCCTGAGGATGTCTCCTGTTATCAGCGTGCTTTGGGAATTATTGAGAATATTTGCAATACTTCGAGGTGTGGCCGAAGGTTTGTGCTGTTCTTCAAGCTGAGTGTTTTAGCTGCACGTTTCATTGTTAGTCAACATCATCAGTACGGCTTCCAAATCCAACTCTGTATCTAAGTCAACAGCAAAAGCACCCATCTCAGAGAGCAGCACAACCTCTTCATCAGCCTACTTTGTCCGTCATATTTCATTGCCGTTACGTCGTCCTCTTCTGCTACCCTGCTTAACGTATTCGCAATCACTAGGTTCGGTGGTCAGTCAACCGGGTGTGAACGGTGTCTGGTGTGATCACCGGCTAAGTACTGTCGAAGTTTGTCCTCCGATGTTTAACAGCAGATACTCTGGGGCTATGTTTGTATGACCTTTGAGGCAGGACCACCGCTAGTTACTTCGTATGCTCCGTGTGCTTGTTAACCGGATGCCCTGGCAAATAAATAATCTAGGCCTATTTCCCGACAAATGGGATACCTTTCTAACATGAGAATAGCTCAGTTTTATACATACGTAGAATTATCATTATTCCATGCTCTACTGTATCGCGATAGGTGCACATAGCATTTGTGTTCTGTTGTGTCTCTCCCACTTCAGCGCAGTTTTTTTTGGAACCCGATCAGTGTTTCTCGGTCCCGGATGCCGATCCATTCTTATTTGGCCACATGAAGACTGTGGTTTATTGATTTTTTTCTACTTTGGGCATCCGGTCAGTTGTGTACACCACAAATGCACTGGATTCAGTGGAGTCACCAGCCAAGTGCATCTCATGGGTGTCGATGAAACTGATCCACTGGAGTCCATCTCTACCCATTTTGTCCGAAGTTGACTGAGCGTTTTTGCAACTCATTCGATGGGTTCCGTGGCAGTCTTTTTTTCATCCACAACGTTCTATATATTTATTTATATGTAATTGGCAGCGTTCCGCAACATAATCACCGGTGTAGGGCCTTGCAACATGGCTGCCATTGAGTTCGAGATCTTGCCATTTCCGAGGGTCGATCGCGCTCGACCACGGCGAACTTTTATGTTAACGTCTTCACACTGTGAGTCCAAGTCCCTTGTTCTCCATTTTGCTCTCGCTTCTAGCCGATTTCTGCCACCGTAAAGAGGACACGGTGAGGCAAACACCGAGCTCGCACTCGAAGCACGTGCTCCAGCCACCGTAGTCTGTGCAGTGAAATTATGCTGTTCAGCGATCGACAAAGTCTGTTTTATTTGAAAATCCATGAGTGAACGTCATCATTACTAATGTCATGCTTCTATCGTATATCAACAATACTCTGAAGACAGCGGTGATCAAAACTAGACATCATCTGAACTTCTTTTGCGCATGAACAGGGTATCTTGCAACCATAGAGCAAGGTCGTTCTCACCGTAGTATTATAGACTCGACTTTTCAGATGGAGGTTCAGATCACATCTACGCCAGAGATGGCGGAGATTAGCAAAAGTACAACAGAGGCGCACGAACAAACCTCATCCGTTAAACTGTTAGTACTGAGGCAGCTTCCTGGGTAAACGAACTTGTCTGCCACTTCCATAGGGTGATTTGAAACGGTGAAAGAAGGAACGGCTCCTGGCCAGTCCTGTAGGAGAATCTTACACTCTGATGGAATGAAGGTCATTCCGACATGGGAGACCGACATTTCCAACCTACGCAGTACATTTTGGGCGGACTGCGAGGAGTCGCAAATTACGACGATGTTTCCAGCCTATTCCAAGTCGCGAATTCGGTCGCCCGGAGGCAGCTCAACGCCACTGAATTCGCGATTGTCCAGAGCCCTCTGCAGCAAGTCGTCCATTGAGAAGTTAAGTTGGAAACATGATACAGGGCAGCTCTGTTTCACGCCACTGTTGATACTGAAGGGGGACGAGGACGTCCACCGTTCACTCACACAGCCCTATGTTCTAGGATAAATGGTTTGAAAAATGTTGGCATACTTTTCGTGCACTCCGTTGTCAACAGACAGCTGAGTCAATCGCGATTCGTATGTGGAGGAGGACAGCGATGCTTGGCAGTCAACATGTAATGACACTCCGGTATTTGGCAGATCTTAAGGGGATCTAATCGATACAGCTACGACCAGAGCGTAATCCAGCTTGCTTTTCGCTTCTGTTCCATTCGCGAACCAACCTGTGCCTCCTTAAAAGCATGGCTGCAAACACCTTGGAAGCCACGCAATCCCTCTGCGATTAGTGCAACCTGTCCTCACTGTTTGAAGACCACGTCGATGTCCGATAGATTCCAATTGGACGAAAATGTTTCATCGGTTCAAATATCTTGGAGAAGGAAAGTTATTTGCCGTGCAAGCAATGGCACTCTATCTCTTAACCCAGTCCAATGGGCCAGGAGTTTTGAAGCGCTCCAAAGCCAGTTACCAAGTGTTATTGAACGTGAAATAGCTTACAAGTCAGCCAACTAGGTGATACAATTCTTTTCCTGGATTTACATGAGAATCTCAGAAAACGGGAGGAATATAGCACAATCAGATCGTCACCTATTTTAGTGAATCGTAGGCGGATTTATTGGGCTTTTGTGTGGAGATTTATCCCAGCTAGACTCAGCCGTTTCGTCCTATTGGGTCTCGTCACTTGAATCCTGCCAGATTTGAACCCACGACATTATTCTTACGAGCCAGTGACTTGTGCCGCTGAGCCATGGGCGGCGGCAGCAGACCGCCATGTCTGATATCTAACTGCGATACAGCGCAGTCATGTTTCCGAATCCAGCAGGATTCGGCTGGTGCGCGCTACTGACGAGTCCCATTAAGACGAAACGGCAGTCTAGCGTTTTCTTGGATGTGTGGTGGCTGTCTGCCTGAATCTAACTGCAACGAATCTTCAGAAAATGCCGGTTACCTGTTACCTAAATGGAGAAGACAGATGTAGTGAGGTTTGTTCTGTAATGTCGTTAGGAGACTGACCTAACTCTCTGACGATTTGATCTGTACTATGCAATGCGATACGATAAAAGCAAGCTATGCATGGTAACTGGTATATACTATGATCGGTTAGGTCCACGTTTCCGTTGCTCATCATTGTGCATGGACTAGTTCGACATAATATCGATTCGATGCACCAAAATTTGTTTGAGGATTTGATAAATTACTTAATATTACACAATACCCTTATGTTCAGTGTTGGGCTGTTTTACACCTACGCGGATCTGTACAGGAAGAGTCCATGCCAAACTTTGGAATAAGCTTTCAGTAGAGTGTTTGGATAAAGCTTATTCCTTAACGAATAGCAAACGGTTCTGTTGAGATGAACGAAACAATCGGTATTCATATCCACAATATTTAAGATTTAGCACATGAATCCAATGTTTCTTTTTATCCCACGCAAACAAAGAGGATCCAATCTGAGACACCTTCTGCGATCAAGATCGTTAAGCTTGGAATAGCCGGTGAATAAACACTGCGCTTTCCCCACTGCTATTTTATCACTCTCAGATTATTGAACACTAGTGAACGATATTCTGACATTGGTCATGCTTCTATTAGCAAAGTGGATGGATCTACAGGCGTAACTGATAAAATCTCTAGCTTTGCTGAGCTACAACTTGCTTGCGCGGCAATGTTGTACTGTGTGCCTAATTGGATGAAGCCCCGACGTATCAGGTAGATAGTACGAAATAAGGACATGAAGAAACCCCCTGAACCACTATATCGGATTGGTAATCGTGGGTGGACTCAAGATTGGTCACACCAGTAATGATGTGTAGCCCCAATGTCAGGGACGCTGTCCCATTTGTTCCCGATTTCTAAGTCTTAACTCATGTGCTAGGCAATTTCGGTTTTTTTTCTCCAATCCTCTTAAACTATTCTTTGTTTGTTCCACTTTTTGGCATCTCGATGCACCGCGGACCATGGTGGAGATCGACTGCGTTGCATTGAATCAGGTTCTGATGAATGTTGCGTCGTTACTTGATCACTTCGATTCAATTAGCACGCACCGATCCGACCCCTCATCCACTGTTTTTACGGTGGCGGAGGAATGCGTGATGCAAATTCGGTCGCGAGACGACCTGTCTGCAAACCATTGTGCGAGAAAAACATGTGTATGAGAGTGCAGTCGCGACGTCAAGCTTGTGAACTGAATTACAGACAGATGGGTACCACCCACACATCGAATGACCTGCAACCAGAGTGAGTGAAGCAGCTCACCTGCGGTTGCGAACTTTATGCACTCTGGTTGGATTCTGTACGAATCCCTGGGGGTAACCTCCGCTGGTGGCCGAAGGGATGAGATCTCTGCTTTGCAGTCCACAGATAGCCGTTGCAAATCTGTGTGGGTACAAGTGCGGAAGTTTGCTAGTGGCGATGGGTCGGCTTGACAAGCCAATGCACTACAGACGCCTCCTCTTGTCTGTCAATTGCAGCTATTCGTCTCTTGTTCTGCACGCTGTGCCCCTACACTTTTGCATACAATGAGCCATATGGTAGCCTCTGAGTACAGTGCTCGTAATGGGGCAATTTAATGTGTTTCAAGCGGTTTTGTATGTCACAAAACCACTTCATACTCGCATCAGTAAGGGTCCCCGTAACCCATAACGCCACAAATCTTCTGGCGATTTAGCGAGAGCACCCTTGCCTCTTTACAGCAGTGTTATACGTGGCACCGATAGGTGATGTGTGGTATCTTGCGGTCAGCAATCCGTTCTGGTGACTCATCATAGTCCTCCACGGCTCAATAGCTCGAATCACTAACTCGCAAGAGGAAATCCATGGGTTCGAAGGACCCCAAATGGAACGCACACTGTCGACCAGTTCCAATAAGGCGAAACAGTCACCCAGCGCTTTTCCTGTTGGGGTTCACAGTGTCTGATCATGACATTGTCACTTTGAACCTCCTAGTTTATCTAACCGGCATCAGAGACGGATGCAGTGTGAATCGGCGCACGTTCTTAAGTTTTGACTACCGTCGCCTTAATCTACTGCACTGAGCACTGCCGTTGTCGTTCGCCATTGCTCCCTATCACCGGAGCCCATACAACTGACTGTCGTCCGATTAAGTTTATTCCATTCATCGATAGGGCTAAAAAGCCATCCTGTCGGGTGAATGTGTACCGGTTTACCTGTAGACGGCGTTGTATATCAGCTAACCGGTTCCTTTCTCTATGCTTTGCTTCAGATCCACACGAGGCATGATAAATTTAGATGAAAACCGTGTGGCAGTGAAACCTGTTTTCATTCGGCTATGGTTTCCCCTTATTCGCCCAATGATAGTGACTCGGAAAAGTTTCAATTTACGCATGTTAGTTGCCGCGAGTGATGATGTGCCGCTGGTTTGTTGTCTGGTCCAAGTGGCCACCTTCATTGTGGCTGAAGACCGTCAGGCGAATCACTGGGTTGTCCCAGCCATTAAAGTGCTGTACAAGTGCTTCTACGTTGACAATTCCGACTTTCCTCTTTTTCTTCAAGTTTGACGGTCGAGTGTTGTGTTACATTCGTTCACATATCCACGTTTTCTTCCCAGTTTGCACACAACTAACCGGCACCCTACATTGGTGGACGCAGACCACCGGTTTACGCTCTGTTCAGTTAATGCTTCGACCGTCAATACCTTAAACGACACGAAAGCGCGCGGATGTAGGAGACAGCTTCGCTCGGTCCTAAACAGCGGTTCTGAAACACTGAGGCAAGAAAAGCGGTGCAACTTCTCGAAGCTTGCTTCTCTGCGTAGTACTCTGTCTAAACCCCCATATTGATTTATACCCTGTATACCTACCACTCAAACAGAACTAAGTCAGATGAATTGAAATAGTCGCTTGAAACAAACAGTGACTTAGCAACCCAGCTGAACTCCTCCCATCTACTAGACGCCATTGCTGTAATAGAATTGCGCTAATCACTCCCATATCCATGCTCGGGTTCTCATCATAACTCAAGTTTCCCATGGAAATCCAATGTGAAAATAACCGAGGTGAATTGCGATCTCTGTCATTCAAAGTCTATATGAGGACTACCAACTGACGCCTTGTTTACGGCACAGGAAAAGGAAATGAACCGCTCAGCACCGTTATTTCACGCACCAGGGTCTGATGGCTTGGCCACGTGTTACCCATGCCAGCCCACCGACCCGCGACGTGCGTTGTTTGCTCACCGGGGGTGTGGATGGAAGAAGAGGAGGGGGTGGCCAAGCGATGATTTGGTCGAGAGGAATGAAGGCCCTCACTACGAAGCTGGCCTCAGTTGGAGCGTCTCGGCTACCTGGTTGGGGTCCAAAAGACGATGAACACGTTTGGCTGGATACACTTGTTGATATGGCTAGGAGCAGACCTCAGTGGCGTTCGTGCTATGTTTCTTTGTCCCACCCCATTCCTCTTTAACCACGATCTCATTATTTAGCATTTTATAATTTTGCAAAGTAAATTAGTTTTTTTCTGCTGCATAGTAGCCGGCTGGTAGCTTACCGGAACGATGCCCATCCGTTACCGGTAGCTCAGCTGGCTTGCTCCTGTTGCATTTTCCCCCTTTTTCTTTTATGTATTGCGGCACAGTAGCTGAGGTGTTTCCCACCTCTATCTAACGTGTATAGTGTGTGTGTGAGGACTACCAACTGCAATAAATATCGCATCTTGCTACCTACTGATGATGATATACCATCTTCAATCCATTTCCTAAGCTCAAGGGGAGCGCAAACTTTTGGCCGATAGTCAGGACCACTAGTGCTTCGGGTCATTTTGTACACTTTCTGTTGAGCGATCGAACGTGGTCGTCCTCCTTGAATTTTTATCACCCTGTCGATTACTACCCAGAACTGCTCCTCGTTGCTTTGCATTGTCTCCGTGACGGTTCCCTTAACCGTCCACAATGCAACAAGTTTGTGTTGCTTATGTCTATTCCGTTTTTATTGTCATCCTTACTTTTGTATTACACGTGGCCACGTGTTTCTTTCGCTTGGAGCTCTAGTGGTCTGTCGACTCGTCGAAAGATCTAGTTTTAAGTTAGTCAGGCAATTCTCCTTGGATCAGGCCACAACACTTCTAAGACTGCTTTGCTAAAGAAGCAAATGGACCACTCATTCATTTAGGTTCGTGTTACATGTCACTTTTGAAATACGCTAATAGTAATACTAATAGGCATATATCTCTTAACTTACAGTCCTTGCGGTTATCGAAATTATATATATATATATATATATATATATATATATATATATATATATATAACGAGCAGCCAAGCCTTTGGAATCTCTTTTCGGGCGATCTGTCCCTACATCAGCCTAACCGCTCGTGCATAACAAGTACTTTGAGGTAGAAAACCAACGATATCGAGTCGTTTCGTTCACCACCAAAATGTAAACATAGCATTTACCATGGCAGTCACAGAGCGCCAATTTATCGGTGTACAGTGTTATAGACGCTCGATGAGCGCAGTGCTTTTTTCAGCTCGAGATGACATACACGAGGACTTGGAAGCGACGGGTCATTGGTGGGGGGTAGTAATCGCCGGAAACAATGTTCGCTCACATTTGGCCCACTGGAACTACTCCCGGCAGTCCATTCCGGTGCTAGAGCGAACCGGAAACTGGTGCGACTATTCGAAAAGCTAGTTCACAAGGCTCGGTGCGCGTCCATGCTTGGGTGAAGCTGCTATGACGATTATTACTTTGTGTTTATTGAATTCCCTGGCAACTGTCCTCAATCTCGTACTTGGACGCACCCAAACAATGATCCCAGTGACTAGCTGACTACGGCTTTTAATGACCTTCACTCGCTCGTGCTCCCTGTATCACTCTATATAGGTCCCTTTGAGACCGGTTTATTGTGTTATCTTGTATGTGAATTTGAGTGCCTCCGACTTCCACTTACTACCAAAGCCCCGGAGATACCATATATTACCGGATATAAGCCCGTCCATAGATAAACCGACAGTATGATTTTGCTGCATCAAATTTGTCCAGTCGTAAATCCATGCATTAGCCAACCCCCTAAAAAATCAGCAAAAGAGAAACGAAATTGTTTCTCCATGATTTCGACATCATCAGTACTTGCGGTCACGTGAGTGTGTTCAAGTGAAACCTGTTCTATTATTGGTCAGCTGTGATGACCGTAATGTTGTTATACTCGCGGTTACTGGGGCGTAGGGCCGTTAGCACAGACTTTCACCGCACCGGATAGTGTATTGACCAGATGTCAAGTCACATGGAACAGCGGACAATATGAACCACAGTAGAGCAGTGGGTGAGAGCTAAGTTCACGGTCAGGTGGAT